TGCTTGAAATTAAACATAGATTTATTTGAAAAATCATTTTTTTAAAAATTTTTATGAATCTTTTTTTATATATCAAGGAAGATCTGCATGAATCATTTATAATACGTGAGAGAAGTGGTTCATTATTGGGGTTATTAATTTTTAAATTAAAATGAATTCCTTCTTCTGACAATGAATCACTCTGTCAATTAGAAATCGATCTCTGTCCCCTTGGAACAATTGAAAGATTGTTTGGAAGAAGATATATTTTGGAAGCATTGAAATTTTTGGCAAAGAGCTGTTCGATCAACAGGTTACGTAACGATATTCAAAAAAAAAAAAATACACGGTAACGTCTGAAAATGACCAAGTTTTTGCATGGAAAGTATTGTAAAATATAGCAAGTTTTAAATTGATCAAAAATTTTTGACTGGAAAAAAATTTTTAATTATTTTTTTTTTGAGTCTTCGGGCACAAAATTCTTGAGTTTTTTCGTCAGCATAAGTTGACTTAAAAATTTTCACAATTAGCAAGGTGGTTGCAACATATTTTGCGTTATTTGTAGTAAAGCATCCAGATGTTATTTGTGCAATGGCTAAACCCCAGCCCTTTGCATACAACAAATACAAATAGCTTTTGAATCATTCTTAAAAAATCTCGAAAATTATGATTTTTTTACTTGACATATTTATTTGTAAACAAGTAACAACAAAAAAAGAAAAGATATGAAATTTTTTAAATATAGATTTAAACTAAATAATATCTGTTAACACACACAACATTCAGTGTTGGAAATAGGAGTTGAAAATCCCCAAATTCTCCAGAAGATAAATTGGGTCTTTCCTTTCAAACAACAAGATCTTCGAGTTCTCTGATTTTCTCACAACAAAACATTTTTCACTATTTACAACATTCTTTATCCTTCGCCTTCAACCTTCATTTAGTCGGCGCTCACTATATAATATTCATTATAAAAATATCAGCGAAAATTTTTTGTAAAAATCATGTGATCTAATTTTATTTTGACTGGGCTTTGTAAAGAGCCATTTTTTTATTTACAGTTATTCGGTACCATCAAGTGCGCTTATAGATTCATCGAAGCTTTCTAGGTACAAGAAAGTGGCGGTAAGCAAGAGCAAAAGTAAATTCGTAAACTAATTATTGACAAGTGCTGAATTATTTGCCCAAAAGTTAACCTGTAATCGGCATTAACCCATCAAGATCTATATATGTGATATTATGTAATAAAGTTAATCGATGTAGCATATATACCACCTCGCCAGCTTTGAAAGGAGGACTTCGTTCACTACAAAAAACAAAAAAGCATAAGGCAGAAAAACAACGAAAATTAGAAGAATCATCAAAAAAACCAGACCCAATTGTAGGAAGACCCACACCCTTCACCCGATCATTACTTAAACCCGATGAAATTTTCAAAGTGGCATCAGCAGCGTCGTCAACTACTACCACGGCGTTAAATACTCCTTCTGGTTTTAATAATTTTTTACTCAATAAAAAAGATGAAAAATTTTTATTTGAGATTACACCTAAAGCTGTTGCAGCAACTGAAACAACAACTGACATTAAGAATCCGCCCACGATTTTAGATTCTGCAAATAAAATTGATGATGAAAATAGCAGTACTGAGACTTTAGATGGAAAATCTTTGGAGATCAAAGTACGTGAAAAAACTGAGATTGAAAAAGTTCAAGTGTTAAAAAAACTTGTAAGTTTACAAAATTCAGATGCCAAGGCTATACAGTTGTATAATATACAAAAGGCAATAGAGGAATTTGGCGGAAATGAGAGAAATACAGGAACACCAGAAGTTCAAGGTATTTTTGTTTTTACAAAGATTTATTTACATATATATAAATACATGTGAAATAATCTTTAATAAATAATAATTGATTAATGTTTTTACTAAAACATATAATATATTTAGCCGCGGTATATACTGTTCGAATTTTAAATCTACATGATCACTTCAAGAAGTTTCATAAAGATCTTGATAATTATCGTTCATTAAGACATTTAGTACATAAAAGACAAAAGATTTTAAAGTATTTAAAAAGGGTAAATTTAGAACGATATTATAAATGTCTCGAGAGATTAGGATTGGATGCAAGTGTTATCGAAGGAGAAATTGTAATATAAATAAAATAAAATTTATATTATTAATTTTTACATTTAATATATTTATTTATGTTTTTCACAAATAATAATAAAATAAAATGTTTTTTGATGTATATATTATTATATTATTTATCTATAGGATGATTGATGTATTATATATTGTTTATAGAAAGAATAATGTCTAAATTTTTTTTAAATATTATAAAATTAAGGTTAATTATACAAATGTTGGAAATATTAATTATAAATAATAGTAATAATAATAATATTGTGTGTTTGATTGAAGATTAATTAGTAATTATAATATATTTTTTGATTTATACTGGTAATTTAGCACCTGTTAATTTATCTACAAACTAAGGACAAAAGAAAATAAATAAATAATCAGTCAATTAATTATTGTTTGATTTATCTATTCATTATGAATTTTATTTTACCTGTGCAATTCCTGGTGCACTAAGTATATTTCCAATTAAAGGAATTCTTCTAAGAACTCTTACTATAACTGGGAAAAAATCACTAAGAATCAATTGTAATAATGATGTTATTATTATTAAAGTTAATGATCTTGTATAATTAATTCAAAGTATCAATTAAGAATAGTCTTTTTTTTCTATTTACCCAAATAAATTGAAAACCCCAAAAAGTTCAATAATTATTCCTAGGAAAGGCCATTTAACAAATACCAATACAATCCCACCAAAGAAACATATGGTTCCACGAATTTTATCTTTACGTGAAAAAAAAGCAATCGTTTTATCAAATCCTATAATTAATAATATTCCTGATAAAAATAGTATCTTTAATAATATATTTTATAAAGGGAAAATAAATTAACGAATGACTAATTAAGTTTATCAAAAAAAGTTATTATTTAAAATTAAAATATGAAAACATACATTTCCGATTGCCAATAAGCCACCATCAAAGAATAACACAACACCAAGGAACATAAATAATGTTCCGAATGCTGTTAAACCAACTCCAATCTCTTTATATTTAATAGAAAACAAATATTGTTATGAATCGTTGTGATTACAGAAAAGGAAAATCTGTTGAAATTTACATACTTTGAGTATCTGATAGCCACATCTTGAATTATAAAAAAATAATTTTCAAAGAAAAAAAAATATAATAATAAAAAAACGTGCCCAATTTTGAGTTGGCTGTCAATTAAATTATTACTATTATAAAATTTACTATTATAAAATTTACTATTACTATTACTATTACTATTATAATTATTATTTTACCGAATCCGAATCAAGTACGACATAACGTTAGAATTAATTTTTTGATCAAGAATTCATTCATTCATTATTTTATTTATTTATTTATTTATTTATTTATTTATTTATTATTTATTTATTTATTTATTATAAAATACAATGTATTCTTTAGCTTCTAGACTTTATAATAGTGTATTCAGCGATCCCACCGAACAAAATTCTGCAGTGGACAATGAGCAAGAAAGTGATGTAAAGATAGAGGCGACTTCTTCAAATTCAACCAACAATCCTGAAATCGATGTACCCATAACTATTAATTCAAATCTTGTAATCTCGGTTAATGATGGTAGAAAACACTTTTATACATACATACATATACACGCATGGTCCAAACCGACGTGATTAACTACTAATTTTGTTGTTAATTATAACAGAGTCAACAACAACATTTCCAATGATAAATAGTCCACAACGTGCCAAATCACCAATAAATCCATCAGCATCATCATCATCATCATCATCATCATCACTAACAGTAAGCAAGTCTAAAAAGTTGACTCCTATAGAGAAATCTAATAAATTGCGGAAAAAAATTATACTAGAACCTGGACATTCATCTCTGGATTGGGCAAAACTTAAGAGTAGTGGAGTCGATTTAAAAGTAAGATATGTTATGTGTTTGTTTGAACGGGATTGCTAATTAATTTATGACTAATATTTTTTATTATTAGGGAGTTTCAGAAATAAGAAATTATACACTTGAAGAATTAAAGAAACATAATAGAAGAGATGATGCATGGTCAGCGTTTAATGGAAAGATATATAACATTACTCCATATATAAAATTTCATCCTGGTGGTTAGTATAGAAATGGATGGCGTATTTTTTAATGTAGTTTTCAAATTAATAAGATAAGATGGCAATGGGAATTAAATTTATGTGATGTGTAAAAAAAGAAGAAATTAATTAAAAAATCTTTGTAACTGAACTTTTTAGGCGAAAAAGAATTAATGCGAGGAGCAGGAAAGGATGGAACAAAATTATTTAGTAAGCAGGCTCATTTGATAAATAATTTTTTTTATCATTTTGTTTTTTGAAAAGATGGATGAGAAAAATTAATCTTATTTATTATTTATTAATCAGTGGATATTCATGCATGGATTAATTATGAATTAATGTTAGATGAATGTTTTGTTGGATATCTAGTTGGTGGAAGTCATAATTTATTAGTTGGATAAAAAGATTTTTCAAAGAATAAAAACAATTATAAATTATAAAATTTATAAAATTAAAAAGCTTTATTTCTTTCTGTTTAAATAATCTATAATTGATTATATCTTTCCCTGTTCTTTTAATTCTTTTTTTTCTTTATCACTAAGAGTCCAAAATGAATCCATCTTACTTTTGTACCATCTTCTAATCTACAAATTAAAATAAATTATTTATTAAAAATAAAATTTTTTTTTAAAGCATAAAAATACATGTATACATATATATATATATATATATATAACTACCGGTATAAAACAATGATCTTTTTGATCAAAATCTGCATATAATACTAAATATACACCTGTAACTAAAAATAGTAAAAGCACGAATGAATCGATGAACTAAACTAATTAAAACAACTTGGTCAATTTAGTTTTGAATGGAAGATAGTTTTCTTACCAAGTGTTATTCCTACGCTAAATATATAATATGGCCTGGAATGTGGGGAAAAAAGTGGAGCTTTGTTAAATTTAATACTATTGTTACCAATAATCTGTTTACTACGAGCTTCTTGACGCAGTGTGTCAAGTGTATTGTTATTATTTTCAGAAGTCATTATTAATTTGTTAATATTTAATATTTAAAAAGTAGCTTGTCAATTAATAAATTTTGCTTATCATCCAATCAAATTCGTTTGATATAGTAAAAATCTCCGTCGTATCATTTATTACTACTATTTAACAAACTATTTGATAGACTGAAAAGAAAAAAAGAAGATGAGCTAAGTGGAAATAAAGAAATAGCAAGATTTCTTTTATGTATGTAAAAAAAATATACAGAGGATATACATTATATTGAATTGATTCCATTTATGAATTCAAAAATATTGAAAATGTGGTTTTAGTGAAGTTCGTAAAGCCGTTTGGATTATCAGTGATAAAAATTAAAAAAGAATATATAACTCAAGTGATACAATTTTATGATTTTCTCCCGCACTTTACACTTTAATTATATCCGTATATCGTCCTTTACAAAAAAAAAATTACTCTCTATATATTTATTTTTTGCTCTAAAAACTTCTCGGCGCAAAATTAGAAGTACTGCGACAAATAATATCGCAATATTAATTACTTGAATCTCAACCTAACAGAGAATATGTGATAATAATGTCGAAAAAAAGTTTGTGATTTGATCCAATCATTGGAAAATAGATGCAAGTTAATTTTATTTTATCATTGTTCGTGGAGGTTCCCATCCAATGAATTGATTTGACCGAATGTAATACATTCTCATTCATCTAATTAATTAAATTTAAATGGAAGAAGAGCCTTCAATCACTATAATAGGAGAAAGTAATAAATAATACAATAATGAGAAGGGATGAATTTTCTACTGCTCATATTTTGAAGTAAAGGATGGTTCTAAGAAGTCAAGTTTTAGATATGGAACTTGATGGAAAAGACTGAAATTGTAAAAGATGGAGAAAAATTTAAAGAAGCTATTTGTCAATTCAATGTCTCTGAAGTTTTGATATTATTTTTCCTTGTAATGTTTTAGTATGTGTTGGTGAATCTACATCTAATTATATTACACACTTAAAACTTGATCCACTCTTATTTGAAAAGATTTTTTTTTTGATAAATAAATTTAGTTTTTGTTAACAATGAATATATTTTAATTATTCACCAAATGATTATCTGAATATTGAATTTAATTGATTGAATGGATATAAAACGAATGAATATTCAATGGGCACAACTTCTATTTGTTCGAACGTGTTGTTGTAATTATCAATTGATAGGTGCGATTATAGTAATCTGATGTAATTAATTAAATTGATTTTTAAAATGTTTTCATAAAAACAATGACATAACAACAATTATACTTCAGGATCGTTTAATAGTTTAGGATAAGTCGACATCAGAAATATTGCTTTACAGCCACACAAGATAGAAGAAAAAACGCTATAATTTTATTCTACAATACTAAGGAACGATGTAATAAAGAGTTTTTCTAAAAAAAAATAGAACCTTTTACAAATTCTAGTTTCATCTGTTGGTTGAGATTCTTCAATAACACATCTAAGCAAGTAAGGATTTTGACGCAGCACTCTATTTCTTCCATATTCTATTTTATTCCAATGCATCAAGTGCAAAGGCTCTCAACTGTTAGAATTATCACTCATTTTCAAAGCACGGGAAGGACATAAGGTCATGGTCAAATTTGTCAAACTCAAACTGCCAAGAGTAGCTATATTTGCTTGGGTGACCGTGTGGGTTTCTCAGCTTTTGACAAAATGGTTTGGAGGAAAGAGTGACAACTTGGAGACTTTCCCAATTACTTCATATTTAAATAGAACCCTTGTATATGACTATTCGAATCGGTACTGTTATATGTGAAATTGGAAATTAAAATCTATAATAACAATTAAATGTTTGGATGCGAAATTCCTTTTGATCGGGTTTATCTAATTTCACATATTAATATGTGATTTGCGAATTCCACATAGATTTCATTTAGATAGTGTCAAAATTCCCTTTATATATTTAATAAAAATACAACCTGTTAAAAATATCTTTAATATGAAATATATATTTTTCGAAAAATAAATTTATCGCAATAATAATATATGAAAAAAATAAATTACAAAATCCAAGTATTTATATGTTATATCAACTGCTTTTTTTAACATCTTTGTAGAGTAAATACATTAGCGCATGCTCGATGTGTTTTCCGTTAAAATTTTCTGCACTAAAATAATGACCAGATCCAGCGGATATGGTATTTTGAACTACTGTAGTAAAAATTCGACGTTTATTTGGCTGATCTGGTGATTCATCAGAGTAAAGCACATAATAAGTTCCAGAGATGTGATCGTCCACCTCAGAATTTGTACGGACATTATCTTTTGTCCAGGCTGCACCTTTGGCATATGATATTTCTTTAAGTCTTGATTCAAGTAAATGTCTGACATTAGAGTCGAGATTGCTGAAAATATTTTCAATGAATCTATCAATGTCTGCTTTATTGTTATCAAGTATATAGACACCTGATTCGATACTCTGAGTGACACCGCCACTAGGACACGAGTATCCATGCACGGGACATTTCATGTTAAGAAGCCATTTATAATCACCTTCCATATTTTATAACTTTCCAATTCTTTCCTTATCTGACCGAATAAAAAGGATATTATTATTATTTATAAAAACAGCAATATAGAATATAATAAAGAGAGAAATCGAAATGAAATAATTACCTTCTATGTATCGTAGGGTTTCTTGGAAATTCTGGGATGGGAGGAGGAGGTTCAGATTTCTCAGTAGTCCAATACCTTAAACTAATAATCATAATAATCACAATAATCAATATATACACAAAATTTTTGATTCTGGTTCCATGATTATACATTATTGAATTAGAAATATGTATTTATAAGTGAATAACAGATCAGAATACACTCCTAAACGAATTATTTTTAATAATGATAAATTGTTGGAAGAGAAAAATTGCAGAGACCAATGAGTTTAGTCTGGTCCATTGCCGTTAATAACATACTAAATGTGGTTAAAATGTTACCATCAATGGATTGGTACCATGGCCAACCAGGACCCCGCAAACTTTATAGATAGTAATAGGTCAGTAACAAAAATTCCTGTTTGTTATATGACCAAAATTAAGTTTAATATATATATAACTTGACCCTATGATTTGCAATAAAAAGAACATAATTTGACTCAAAATATATACTCACATTAAAAATTTTGAAACTGTCTGATTTTATAATTTATAATATTTTAATGATTTTTTTAATATAAAATATTGGTTTTGTTTTTTGAAATGAGTACGTAAGGATAAAAATTTACACGAAAAATTTTCGGTTTCCCTAATAGATCGTTAACTACTAATTTCGAGCGCCAATATCATTTCTGAATCTAGACTAGTTCATGAACGTTATGGCAGTAATGAAACCCAAAATCACATGAAGGCCCTTTTTTGAATGAGCGCATGGCGTAGTAATGGGAGGAGGCCTTTAGACCGAGCCAACCATATTGTTAATAAAAAAAAAAAAATAACAATAATAATAGTATATATTAACAAAATCCGTTGTAACTATAGCCCTTAGAAATTTTATCATAAATTTGTTAAATTTGTTCATACCCTAAAATGTTGCACAAATCAGTGGATAAATTCAAATTCAAATTCTTCCATCTTTAAATAATATTGAGATGTACTAAATTTTTTTCAATTAAAAGAACCAAATTGTATATTAGTATTAATCATCATCTTGTACTTTGCATTATGTACAACACCAATTGCATCATACGATTTTTAATTTGACAACATGTTAAGAATTATAATTTCCTGTAGTTAGTTGAGTGATAATACTAGAAATTGAACAAGGTTGAACTTTAGAATTAATTGATGAAATATTTGGAATGGAGATAGCTGGTATGGATTAGTTTATTGCTATTATCAGTACCAAAAAAACAAATGTTTATCAATTATTCAATAATTATATAGGCGGTTTTGATCGAAGTAAGTGTTGGTCAAGATCTATGAAGCATGCAAAACAAATGTTTATCAATTATTCAATAATTATATAGGTGGGTTTGATCGAAATGAGTGTTAAAGACAATTTATACATTTTATTTATTATTTATTTAAACAACAATAATTATTAATTATCAATGAAACTAAAATTCAGAAATAATAAAATACCTTTTAGTTTTTGCTGAATCCCATCATAACATTTACTTTCACATATACGACTATTCGTGTTACTTGTAAATTATTTCCGATTTGTATATTAATTTCCCGTGATTTATAATTTATTATTTTACGCTACCACTTGTGTGATTGATTCAATCATTAAGATTAATACCATTCATTGCAAGAGTGGAATAAAATAATTACTTTTTGAATATAATTAATTATATATCTTGGTTAGATAAAAAATAAACATAACTTAGCTTTTTGTTGTTATTTAATCCTTTCTTCATATATGAATGTCTCCATCTATCAAATATTCATGATGATCATGATTATTATTCAATACATTTGATATCATCATTGACATAACAAACAATTACACCACCTAGGTAGTAACAATACCAAGACCATGCATAAATGAACTTTTAATAATGCCTGTCTACCCAGATCTCTCTGGAGTTCACAAGAATAAATAAATAGGGAGGATCAAAAAGAGATTATAGTTCCCATTGTATAGATAGTTCCTTAAAAATCACAAATAAATCTGATGTTGATCACAGGTGTTGGGATTAATTAAATTTTCCTATCACAAGCATGCAAGATGGCACTATTAAGCACAATTCAGCACCATGGAATTTTTTTCCCACAGGTGAAACAGACTTAAACATGTTGAAAGTCTTTGGACAAAACTTTCCCTTATCATCCCCTCAGACCAGGCTTGACTTTTACCATATGGACATTGATAATGTTGAGGATCAGCATTTGCGTGATGATTGCTTTGTGTTATATACCTCTCTTGAATAAAGTTGGTGTCTGCAACTAATTTAAAAATTCAGCAACTTGTGAAGTTGCTGTTTTGGATTTCCCTGAATTCAGAGTTTTGAGTCCTGGTTTGCTGTCATGTTGGTGGCACACCTACTCATCAACAACCCACTCTGGCTAAATAACAAATTCAGTTGGTCAAATAAAATCAATGAGAAACAGAGAATATGATTAATTTATACATAACATACCAAACAAAATCCAAACCATCTTATTTTACAGCCTTCCTCCCAACATCAGAACCCAAATGCAATTTCAACATCAGGAAAATGGGTACAAATATTATGCGTATATAATACGCAATTGCAGGGATTAAGCATATAATATGCATACAAATCGTGTATTTTTTTATGTATGCAAATTGTACATATACTATATGCTTAATCCCTGCAATTGCATATTATATACGCATAATATTTGTACCCATTTTCCTGATGAGGAAGATTTATATATTGGACATTTATTTATTTATTTATTTTATCTTATATATTTATTGGACACAACCCGAGCTGTAATTGAATTTACACGCTCGCATTATTAACTAGAGTGATGACAAGTGGTGGGCAATAACCACCACCACCATCCTTAAAACACTTACCCCTTCTTCACACCATACTCATCTTGTTTGTTTCTTTTGTTGTTGTTGTGTTGTCATGGCATTAATAAAAAATTTTAAAAAAAGTAAAAGTTTGTGATACAATTGACGCACACACTTTAATTATTTATCCTATTGGTTTTTTTTGGTAGGACAGATGCAAATTGATTTTTTTTTTCTTGGAAAAACAATTTATTTTTTGACAGAGTCCAAGGTGACAAAACGTGTTAATAACTAACCAGAGGTACTATTTATTGTATTGATTGATATTTTTATTTTTAATTGGAAATCAAAATGTGGAGCAGATCTTGCTGGTGTAATTACAAGATTTTCATTGATAATATTTTGCTTTTTGTAATCCATATTATATATTATTTATTATTATATAATTACAAGATGTCAAGGCAGCATTGACTGTTGAAAAAGAAATATTTCAAGTATGCAACATTTGATTACAGGAAAATAGCAGGCATTGAAGCACGCACGCTACCTTGAACACTTTACAGTCATTCTCACTATTCCTTGTGTACATAAGGCTAATCTGACTTGCAACCCCTCGATGATACAATGATGCTGCAGAATTCCAGGGGAGGGATGCAATGCCCTGGAGTTACATTGAGACTTCACCAATCATCAATGACGCTTCACTAATTTTCTCTCACAGTACCCAGACCAGAGATGGCTGCTGCCATGCTAGCCAAAAAGTTGCCTGCAATGATCCCACCTCTAGGGTAAGGATGGCACTGTGACCAAGTCACAGCTCTGTTGATGAATATTATGAGAATCTGCAGCTTGTTCAAGCTCAGGAGGTCACAATTCAGAGCAGGGTTGGTGGCCTGAAATTGCATTTGGACCCTGATGTTAAGAGGAAAGTTGTAAAATAGTGTTTGTTTTGTATAATCACTTTCCTAAATTCTCTGTTTTCTTGATGCTAACCAATTTATGATTTTGGATAGGGGACTGGATTGGATTTTTGCCCAATCAGTCTTCTGTCCTGTAGGTTAAAATTATCACATGATTATATACATCTTTGTCAGTAATGTGGCCGACAAGAAAAAAGTTATAAAATGGTTTGGATTTTGTTTGGTATGTTTTGTTATAAATTAATCATTTTCCCAAATTTTCTGCTTCTCTTTAATTTTTATCTGACCAACTGAATTTGTTATTTAAATGGGGGCAGGATTGTTGGTGAGTAGGCATGCCACTGATAAGACAGGAGACGCCTTTGAGATATACCAGCCAAACTCATAGAAAGGGATCTTTTGTCTAGACTTAGGGTCACATGGATGTTAAGCACAGAAAATGTACACTATCAATGTATATTTTTTTCAACAAAATAAACATTTAAATAATTAATTGTTAAATATTAATACTTTTCTTTTCATAAAAATTACAGCAACCCAGGACTCAAAACTCAGAATCCAAAACAGCAATCCAGGTTGCAGCCTTCCGAGTTGCAGAATTTTCAACACCAACTTTTATTCTAGCGTGGCAATAACACAAAGCAATCATCACACTAGCACCAGCTATCAATGACCATATGGTGACAGCCAGCTTGGTCTTAGGGGGGATAAGGGAAAGTTTTGTCCAAAGCCTTCCAACATGTTTAAGTCCATTACACCCATGGAAAAAAATCCATGGTGCTGAATTGCACTTGTGCTGTCTTGCATGTTTGTGATAGGAAATTTTAATTAAATCTGACACCTGCAATCAACATCAGATTTATTATTCATAAGGAACCATGATTGATAATCGGGAAAAATAATTTATTTTTGTGAACCCCAGAGATCTGGGTAGACAGGCATTATTAAAATTTTCATTTCTGCATGGCCTTGGCTTCATTACTGCTTGGGTGATGCAATTGTTTGTTATCTCAATGATGATATCAAATGTATTGAAGGCCATCATGAATATTTGATGGATGGAAGCATTCACACACAAGGAAATGATTAATACGGTTCACCTTTCAACATATCCATTTTCAGAAAGTTAGACATGGTATTTTATTAATTCTTTTTCTAACACTTATTATTTCTATTTTTTTTTTTTTTTATTATTACTATCAATAAACGCGCATAACTTTATTCTCTTTTTATTCTTCATTACAATCATATCCCCTTTTTTTTTCATATGTTTTTCAAAATTAGTGGAGATATAACTGGGTATATAGAATATATAGCAGTCAGATAGGATTTCACATTTGCTGATTTTGCTGTATGGTCGACACAGCACGTTTTCGTCCAACAGACCTTAAAAGAAGAATCGAATAGAAGTTATAAATAAAAACTTCCTATACTTCTAAATAAAAGGAATCTTGTACTTTTGCTCTTTTAAACACAATCTTTATTTGTTGGTAAGTTGTTTCATTGTCCGGCAATAGCCTTTCAAAAAGAACCATGCTTTTTAACTTTGGAGACCTAATTCTTTATGAAAAACAACGTTATTACGATCATTTTAATGTAATAAGTTAGAGTACATTGAGGGCTATCAGGAAATGTACGGTTTTTACAGAAGAGGGAGAAATTAGAAGCAAAAATATTTTTTATAATCTATTTTATTCGCTAATAAAACTATTCTGATCCACATAATCATAAATTTATTGTTACCATCAATTAATATTCTCTCCTAAAAAATAATTGGTGATACTAGCATTCATTACATTCTTTAATTGGTTCCTAATTGGATCTTAATTATATTTTTTAATTATATCAAACTTAATCTGCAAAGGATTCGGTTGTTGCATTTAAGCTCCGAACAAATGGAATTGAGTTAAATTTTAAAGTGATTCGAATTCCAAAAAACTGGATTCGATAAAATTTCTTTTAATGTCATATTAATAGGGTTTTTATTCGAACGATTCGTTTTATTTGTTATGAATTTGAGTATTCGATTTTTATTTGGATAAAATAAATAAAACGAATAATTTGGATAAAATAAATATAATATAATAATAATGAAAAAAACGAATATAATAATGACAAATGACAAATGACAATAATTACATTGTTGAGAATGATGCCTCTTCAATTACTTCTTCAACAGGCATAGTGCAATTAATGTGTTCAAAGAAAAACAAGAAGTGGAACGTGTGGATCAATTTCACAGTTGTAGATGGAAAAACCAAATGCAATTATTGCACTAGGTAAATGTATTTTTTGTCCAAAGGCAACTCTTTTAAAATTAAAATTATTTTATATGGTACAGTGCAAGTCACTTAGTCCCACAACTTTTTATTGGTCATGTAGACTTTCAAATTCTCCAAAAATAGAAATGCAACACCCAAAAATAAATCGTGTATTTGAAGCCAAGACCTTCCTCTACAAAATCACAATTTCATTTCGTTGATATGTCATGTTGTTGTGGAGGATTTGAGCTTTAAAGTTGCACAAAGTTTACCAAATTTACGATTCTTGGCCCTAAAATGGCCAGTTACACACAAAAAAGTTTATCAAAAATAGACGAATTGAAACAAAATAAAAATTTGAAAAATTTATCTTATATTGCAGATCTTTTGTCACGTGAATTTTCCAGATGAACGGGAAGATAATTAATTATCTTTATTATTAAAAAAACAAAGAACAGGTAAGTTCATTTATTTTAATTTAATAAATAGATTATTGCATTGATCAAAGAATGTACAAAATATCATGTGACCTTAAAATTTTTATTGCATTTTTGATTGGAAATTTTTTTCTCAAAATTGGCCACTGTGGCGCAGAAAGTTGTGGGACTAAGTGACTTGCACTATATATATTTGAATTAGATTCGAACCAAGTCATTTATAGGTTCGAATTTCATTGATTCGTTTGGAGCCTTGGTTATAAGAAAAATCTTAAAAATCGATCTAACAATTCACATAATTAACAAGAACTTTATTTTCAACATTGGCCCCATGTAACCAAACTAAATGTGATATCAAATTATCGGGTTGAGAAGTTGCAAACACTCATTTAAGCCTACAATCATCTTTAATTTCTCGCCTTTGTCTGGCCAATTTGTTTGATTAAACAATTGACGTTGTTATTGTTTGACATATGCATCATTTTCATTCTCTAAATTTTATAAAGGATTAATGAAATAAATAAATCGCAACGTTAAGTATTAACTATGTTCATTTCTCAGTTAGTATAACCAACAAACTACCTCTTAAAAACTTACAAGAGAGTATAACGATATTAAGGTCATGCAAAATCAAACTTTTAAGGAATCAGAGGGAAAGAGAATAAAAACAAAATTACAAGGTGTAAAATCCATTTTTAAAAAAGTAAAATTAATAAATTAAGTCAAACTTGTTAAGTTTGGATATCAGGTTTATCTCTCTAGAGAAAAGGCCTGAGATACAATTTCAATAAAGTTTGTAGTTCCAAAATTTCTTTCCATTGGAAAAAGATATAATTATTCTAAAACTGGCTGGATTCAATTGTAATTTGAGCTCCCTTTCAAAAATTTATAAACAAATATATACTAATGCGACTAATTAGATTTTAACTGTTAAAATCAAAACAAAAAAAATCAAAAAGTAAATTAACTCCATATATGCAAAGTCATAACATCATTTTGTTTCACATAATGATAGTGAATAAAGTGGACGCTTTATTACAAATAGGTTAAGATGTTTCAAACTTGACCTTGTCTAGAAACTTTACAACATCTTGTTTAATCTAAAAATGTTTCAAAAAAAATGAGCATTTCTTTATAGATTTTCGTGAAACAGTTATTGAAAATTTTCCGATACTAACTTATTGTTGTCGTGTGATCATTTTTCATACAAAACAAACTTGTAAAACAAAACCTAGTCCTTTTTATGGAAAGTGGAGATGTGGCACATCAAACTATTTCTTTCAAGATTTTATCCATGTAAAGAATGGCAGGGACAGGACCAGGTTTCTGCGCCATGACGGCACTTTACCTTTTCAGTAGGGCCAGTTGGATTCGTATAAATAAAGGAACTGAAATACCTCTTTTCGTCAATATTAATAATTATAACAATTGATAATAATAATTATTCTTTTCAATATTTTTCCGAAAATTATAACTTGAGGCGAAAACAACTACATCGTGAATTCTATGAAAATCACATACAAAAAACTTGGTCTAAAATACTGTTCATAATGTTGTAAAATTAAAATGGTTAGCAATTTGCCCTTTAGTATTAGATACAAAAAATAAAAAATAAACCATGAATGAAACTGCGTCTGTTTTATGGATTTAACTAAAAGAGTAATCACAGATGTACTGTTGAAAAAGATTTGCTCAATTTATCAATTGTGACATTTGACGATCTATTTATAAAAATAGATGCAATATTGATATTGATAGTCGACCCAATCTTAAGAAAACGTTTCCACAAATTTAATTTGTTCATTTTTGAAAAATTAAATTTTCCGATTCGACCTTTATTAACGGAATATTCCAAGAAGTTTATGACTTCCATTAAACCATACCACATCATTACCATCTCTATACTCTACCAAATAACAGAAGACAAATCATTGGTTCAAAGACAAATGAACAACGATTCCAAAAGAGAAACAAATAAAAGAAGTATTGAAGGAATTTGCCACGGTAGTGGAATATTTTTCGAAACAAAAATATTGGAAAAAGAAAAGATGTATGCATTAATTATTTACTATAATAATATTTAAAATTGTTAAATAGAAGTTTCGTTTTTTTAAAAAAAGTGGAAAGTCGTCGTCATGAGCGAAGTTTTTTTATTATTATATTAATAGATTTTTTTTGTTTGTGTAACCCGAATGTGTGATGATGACGACGATGACATTTTGAGTTTATTTTTCAAGCCACATTTCCAACAAATCAATTTACTTTTGTAGGAAATTACTAAAAGATCTTCACCACAAAGAGAGGGAAAAGAGTACAAAATAGTTCAGGGCCCATAAAAACTAATATTATTTATAGAGCTAAATTATTATTTTTTTTTTTAAAATTAAAATTTTTTTTTAATTCTTTGAACATATAATCTAAAAAAAAAATAATATTTATTTTTTTATTTATTAATTTTTATTAAAAATATCAAATTTCTTTCCTTTTTTGTTCTTTTCTTTACTTTTTCTTTTGACACATTCTCTAAATCAAGGTAAAGAAATATTTATACTTGTTGTTATTGTTGGAATAATTTTTTTTGTTATTGTCGAGAAAATAAAAAAAACCATACTAAAAATTTCTCTTTAATAAATACATATATATAATATATCTAATAGTTGCAAATATGTCACAACTTGAAGACCATGCACAAGGTAACATTATCTTTTCTTTTAAATATAAACCTCAAAATAAACATACATTAATAAACCTATTTAGATATATATAAATTAATACGTGAATATATGAATATATAACTTTTATTTTTATTTTAGCTTCTGACCGTCTTGACCGTTATAGGATTCGTCAAGAAGCAGCTAAAGGTTTTGATGATGATCTTGAGTTTTGTCCTTCTTTGTCACCGGAAGAGGTAAATTTCTCAACCAATTTTATGTGATTAGAAATGTATCTTGTTTGAATTAAGAGTCAATCAACCTGTGACTGACTTTTTAGCAAAAAAAAATTATGCAATAATTTGTATTCTAGTCATATTTAATTAATTACTAAATTATGAGCAACAAAATAATAATAACAGTAATAATAATAATGACAACAATAACAACAACAATACTAATAATCATTGTTTCATTTTATTTATTATATATACAAGCTCGCGGAATTCCAATTGCATTTTCAACTTCTATTACAAAGTCAGTCCAAATCCATTAATATAACACCACCACAACAAAAAAGAGCAATACCAATAATTGATCCTACAAACAAAACTCCTCTAAATGTTATTCCTTTAAAAGCAAACTCCAATTCTAACTTTAATTTTAATTTTAATTTTATTTCTAATCCCAACTCTAATTTAAACTCACTATCGTCATCATCACTATTATCATCCAATAATAATAACATTAACAATTCAATACCTTTATCGTCATTACTATCGTCCACATCTTCATCTACAAATTTTTCTTCTACTTCTCCCCCATCATCATCATCGTCATCATCATCGTCATCAACTACATTTTATACAAGACCAAATTCACCATTTTCATCATATAACAACAACAATATAGCATCATCATCATCATCATCGTCAATAATATCACCACCAACATCAAATAATAATAATCTATTATTATATCATCATCATCATAGTCATCATAATCATAGCCATCATCATTATTATCAACAACAATTATCAGCTCCGATTAAAATGACAAAGTCAATACCAATCATTGATCCCAGTAATGGGAATATTGTAAATATGCCAAATAATATCAATAATGGTAATAATAATAATAATAGTAATAATAGTAATAATAGCAATAACAATAACAATAATAGTGGTTTTGGAGGTTTCTATAGTGATATTTCTGTAAGATAATAAGGATAATTTTTATAAATATGTTTGAAGAGAAAATAATTAATTATTATTATTGTATAGTTTTTTATCATGAAATAATATCTTAGTTTTATTTTTATCTTTGTTTCATTTTTATATTCATTTTTTTACTATTTTTTAATTTTTTTTTTTTCATGTAATAAAATTTCAATTCATATTTTTTACAAGAAAAAAAACAAGTTTTTTTTTCTCTAAGAAAAAAATTGGATTTTATAATATAAATAATATAAATAATATAAATATATAACATATAAGCCGGATTTTTTATTAATCCCAAGATTTAATTCTCATAGTATTTTCTTCGCCCATGACATTTAAATGCATTTTAAATACTTTATCCAACATGTGTGGTTGATGTGCTGCACCTATTTTTAAACATTTCTTTTCTGAGATTTCAAAATAATCTTTTAAGATATCTCTATAATCCGGATGAACACATTTATCAATTATCATTTTGGCTCGTTCTACCGGCGATAAGCCTCTTATATCCGCTAAGCCATGTTCTGTCACTATTACATCTAAATCGTGTTCACTATATATATATATATTTATTTATTTTTTTTTTAGGAGAAATAATTAATTCAAGAAAAAGAAAAAGTTTTTTGGTTTTTTCAAACTCTCTTTGTTATACTACTTACGTATGATCGATATGTGAACACATTGGTACAACACAGGAAATTCCTATTGGATCTTTCTTTGTTGGTCTTGTAGATGGTGTATGCATAATGCTTAATTTAGAGTTTCTCAAAAAATCTGATGATCCACCAAGCCCATTCAACATTCTTGTGCCACATACATGTGTAGAGTTGGAATGTGCATATATATCAACCTATGGATAAATTTTGTAGTCAATTAATTTAAAATAATAATAATAAATTTCTAAAAAATAAATAATAATAATAATACCTCGACAGGAGTATTCATCGCTATAACACCTAATCTTCTAATAACTTCCGGCGAATTGGAAACACTTTGGCTTCTCAACACCAATCGATCCTTTAAATAATCCCACATCTCATAAAATCTTTTAAATCCTGTTGGTGAAAATGCTACGCTGGTTGCCGATGCAAATGACAATTTATGATGTTCCCAAAAATCAAGAAATGTATCTAATATCAATCAACGAAAACCAATCATTTAATTGTATTGTTTTAATAAAACAATTGCTTTCTTTTAATTATCAATTCATTCGTTTGATTGACACAAACCTTGAATTACTTCTGTCCAAACTTCTACATCAGTAAAAGGTCCATCGGCAAGTCCTCCAATAACAGCATTTGCTATATTTCCTACGCCGGATTGTAACGGTAACAATTGTTTTGGTAGCCGATCCATACTAACTTCATGCTCCAAAAATTCAAGTATATTATTCGCAATCTTATGTGATGTAGCATCCTAATAACATTGACAAAAAAAAAATATCATTATTAGTTTTTAAAGAAAAAAATCTTCCTTAAATAACACTATTATTATTACCTGGGGTTCACTATCTGTTGTTCTATCTAACACCGTTGACTCTATGACTGCTATTACTTTATCACTATCACATGGAATGTATGGAGTTCCCACCCTATCATCAACACGTTGAACTAAAATTGGAAATTTATAAGGTGCAAACTTGCTTAATGTGATATCATGTAATCCTTCAAAATTAGGTAACGCCGTATTAACTTCAATCACCACATGAGCTGCAGATTGAACAATTTCGGGTGTTGCTCCAACTGATGCTCCAGGAATTATGTGACCTTCTTCTGTTATTGCTGTTGCTTCAACTATCACCACATCAAGTTTTTCTATTGTGGTTCCTTTTTTTTCTAATGTATAATAACCTGATACCAAATCCTTGATAAATAAGAGAGAATGTGCATATTTGTGTGTTAGGAAAAGTAATTTCCAAAAATCGAAGAAAATTCGATAATAATTACCAATGGAAACTCGGAAAGATGTTTATCAGCAAACGCAATATGATTTGTGTTGATTCCTTTTTGAATATCTTTACCAAGTTGGTATGGATAACGTCTAGATATCATATCATTCTAAAATATCGACAAAAACATCAAAAGAGAATACCTTAAACCATCAAAATTAACTAGAAAATAGCTAGAAAAACAATTACCCTTGCCCATCTGAATAAATAAATAAATAAATAAAAAATAAATAAAAAATAAATAAATGAGCTAATAAATGAATTAATAAATGAATAAATATACTACAAATAAAAAATTAATAAATAAATAAATGAATGAATAAATATACTATAAATAATATTATAAAATAATTACCTGAATAT